AAATTGAATTAGAACACCCTGAAAGAAGTCACTTTCTGTAAACAAGAGGATGTAGCTGTTGAGTCAGAGAATAACCCAGAATCATGTCTAAAACTTGAGTATTAGTACAACCTGTTGTGAATTACATCCTAAGACATGCATTAGCTGTATAGACATCTTCCTGTTGCTTTTTCCTGCTGTATGGATCACACCAGCAGCTGTGTCCATTCCTTCTTGCATAGGAGCATGGCCACATTCATCCAAACAACTTAGACACGTTATTGACAGATGTTGCCAAAAGGGTACAAGTTTATGAGCCACCTCAGAGCAGTTTAAATTCTTTATTGGATTATGAAACAACTGAAACTTCCCCTCGACATCTACATACACATTTAGCAAAAATAATAATGCAGGAAGCAGCTTTGAGAGTTGAGATCCCACATTCTGATATTTGCTTCTTTCCACCCAACCACAAAACAAAACATGGGGGGAAAGGGCTGAGCACAATGTTAACAGATGCCATTATGATCCCAAGAAGAGATAAAGCTCTTGACCTGTTAATAGATGCCACTATACAAAGCAGTATCTGTTTTAATTTTGCTTCTCACCTTTTAAAGTAATGCATTCTTATTCATGTTAAATAGACATTACAAAGCACTCAAGAAACAACTAGGATCTGCTAATCCCATTGCAGGAACTTTATCTTCTAATCACCATTTGAACTATGCATCTTTCAAACGATCACAGCATTTTGCATCATCTCTCAAGGACATTCCAAATGTCCACTCAGCTTAATTTTTCAGGATTTCCAAGCTCCCGAGCCGAATTCCCAGCTTTTGCTCTTTATATCATTGCTCTGTGGATGCTATGTGGGTGTTCCAATGCCAACCTGAACTAGATGGAAGTAGGAATTGGGAACAGTTCAAGTTAGTCCATGTGTGAGTAATAAATCCAGCAGCCATGTTTTAAATGCTCCTCCCCATGGCTCATGCAATGAGAATTACAATCTCGTTTGGGATGGAATCATCTCCCAGTTGTGAATTAACTCTGAAACTGCAAAACTGACAGTTAGAAATGCTACAGCAGGAAAAAGGAGTCTCACCTATTCCAGCCACTTGCAGTTTCACTCTAAGCATGGTAATATCGCTGGATGACATACTTGTTTTGGTGTACCTCAACCACAAAGAAGTGATGTAAACAGCCATTTCAAAAGGTATGTTTGGTGACAGCACATTCTAAATCCTTTTGTTCCTAGATGTAAAGGCTAAGGTGAGCCTTTCAGGGCCTTGGCATCCAAATGGAAGCGAACATCTCTATTCTCTGCCCCTTCCACTGCCTTTCGGGACAATCAAATTACCTTCCTTGCCAGCTAGAGGCTCACCATCATCACCAAACCCTACAGCACTACCTCGTTTCATGCTTCAGAGCTGAAATAAGTCCCCTACCTACATTAGGAATAATCCTATATTGCAGTTTGCTTCCTCACCAGCCCTGGCACATCAGGGATTTGTTCTTTTCTCCCTCAAAGCACTGAGCTGGAAGCAAAAGCCTGGAAGAAAACACCCTTTTGAGCAGGGAAAAAGAACTCTCTCTTTTTGACCTGACACAGGCAGTCAAGGAGATGAAGTTCCAAGCACACAAATGATAGGTCACCCAGAAATGCCAAGCAAGAATGAATTTGGTTTAATACTAGTACAAGGGGCACAGAAGACTTTGGATTCACTTCTAAGGGGTTGGGTAGCTTCATGAAGAGCACTCTGACTCGACACCTCTGTGTGTTTCTTTTCGAAACATGTTCCTAACTATTTGCCAGAGTTTGAGTGGGACACAGTAAAGCAGAAAAGGGATTTCACCAACTGACCTTGAAGCAGGTATGTTGTATCACAGGAATCATTAATTCTAATCACTACTCAAACACCAAAATACAGGAAAAATAGGTATTTTTCAAAGACAGGAAAAGGCTAGGAACAGCCTCCAAATACACCCCCAGATCCTAAGCCTCCCCTTTAACAGCAGTGTTGATTTCTCCTTCACAATTTGCTATAGGACATGGACATTTCAAGCCAATCCTGCACTCCACATCTGCTGAGAAGGAATACTTCTATTTAATCTTTTTAAGAACAAATTTTTATTGCTTATACCAAATGCAGAAAACAGTCAGGATACTCAGTGCTTCAGCACACCCTGAAAACATGGCTCCACAGCTCCACATTTTGTAACCAGACTGAGACAGGACCAATGCCAGATGGTTTTGCCATCAACTATTGCTACTACCAAAGCAAATCACATGCTGCAACACACAGCAAACATGTGAGTCTACAGTCTTTTCCTCTTCTATGAGGACATTTATCCAAACCACACTTCTGTAATACATACAAGAGATCTCGGGAATAAATCATACTTGTGCTCACACACACCAGACCCAGACTTCCACTCCTACAAAAAGTGGTGCTGACAGAGTGAGAGGCATTATGGCGTGTGTGGGTTTTACTGGTTGTCACCAACCTTGCACTTAACTGCACTGAGTCAGTACCTGGCACTACTGAAATCCTACCAGCTTTCCAGAGGAAGCAAATCCAGAACATTGCAAGTCACACCAGGGAATTCCTGCTTCATTTGCACAGCACGGGGCTGTTTCTCTTGCACAGCAGCCAAGGGAGACATCGTATATGGCTCCAGTAAAAGAAATCCTTGGTATTTAAAGGAGGTACAGGCAAGTTGGTTAAATCCAATCTAGGGCCTCTCTGTAATTCATGAATAAAGATGACTCCAGATGTAACTATTGTCATAACAACCTCATTTCAAAAAGCTAAGAATATAGCTGGTACAAGCCACCGTTCTGCATCGTTATGCAAGGCTGGGGTGCTACCAGCCCAGGCCTTCTCATGCTGGCACTGGAAGTCAGGTTTAGAAACAAGCCATTACCAAGATCTATGAGCATGTGCAAGAAGTAGTTGTTACCATCGTGTTTTATTACCACACAGACATACAGTGATACTGAGAACAGGCATGTATCCCTTTTAATCTACCGAGCTCAATTCTCATTCCGAGTGCAACACGTACTGTAGGGATGACCCCTGGAAGCAAATCAAAGAGGAGCAGCTCTCCATGGAGTCTGACATACTCCATCATCAGCATAAATAAAATCAGGTGATGTAACGCTTTTGTGACAAATGTAAGGGAGGTCACTATTTCCACAGGTGTAGTTTAGGGCTGTAAACCTGTATTAAACTATTCTTACAGTCCGACTTGTGCAAAGTTCCCAGTACTCCTCCACACCTGAAATCCAATGCAGAGGCAGCATTACCTGCACTGATCAGAGCTGCAGCAATTATTTATTCGAGTCATTATGCTAAAACACACCTTAACTAAACCACTTTCAGTTAAAAAATAAGAATCACTTATCACAAATTAACTGAACACAGGAGTTACCTCATTACAGGTGCAGGCACTTCAGCAGTAATGCCCTGTGGATTTAGTCATGCCAGAAATACCTGCAAGACTCCATATTCATAGGAACAAACACCGGGAAGCTTGGCAGCTCAACATTTCCATGTGTGGGATAAAACAGCATGGAAAACTGCACAGTAAACCAGCACCAGTAACTGGGCTGATGGCCACACAAGCCATGGTAATCACAACCATTCAGATTGCATCAGGAATGTGAGATTATCAGACAAAACTAAGTTTGCTTATCCTGAGATCCCTCCTCATGCTACCACAGCTACTTACACACAGCAGGCAAAGGTTCCAGCTTTCTAAATATGATCAGGAAATGGTTAAGAAACTGAGAATTAATTTTCAAGAGAACTCTTTGCATTGTTAAGCAATTCCAGGAAACAAAAGCTGGCAGAGTCGCATTCGAAGTGCTCCTTGTGCCTGATGCAATTCAGCTGCACAGATGTGCAAAACTCTGAGCAGTCAGGGGCGCTGCTTCCACATCCAGTCACACTCCAAGGAAGGACAATGCGTTAGGCCAGAGGGTGCTTGGCTGGCTAGCTGGTCTCAAGCACAAAACCAAGTGCATTTCCAGAGCTCCCAAGTCTCTTACTAAAACAAAGAAGTTACTCCAGCAAAAGAGGTAAGTAGGATAAACTGTGATTTCCCCAGCATGAGGCAGAAAAAGAATCCCATTACACTGCAATAAACACAAGAGTTTGAGTCACCAATTTAATTTTATACAAGTCAAACTACACGTTGTATAAAGAGTACAAGGCAGTTCTAATGTTTGCTATTGCATGTTACAAAAATCAATTTAGCTAGAAAGGGGAATTTTTTGGACGAGTCCTATTCCACAATTTAAGTGAGTTGGCAACTGTGGTTTAGCAAAGCCTTTGTTAAGACTAGAACTCTAGCTCAAAGATTACATTTCCCATGAAAGTTCAGACTTACACACAATAGGATTATAGTTCTCCTAGTCTGAAGCAAAAACGTTAACATAAATGAGTCAAAGAGGAGGGAAGACAGTGTTATTTTACCTAGTTTTCATATCCAATAGGTATTTAGAGGCTGACAAACCATACAACATACTAGTGACTTGGACCACATCCAAGGGACACGTGAGTGTCTGACAATAGAGTGACACTGACACTCAAGCAAAAACATGTCAGAAAGCTTTCCTTCTTTCAAAGTTAGAAACACAGGGGTTTTCAGCAATACTGTATGATACAGGTTCCAGAGTACCTTTATTACCTTTAATACAGTCACAGTATTGGGGGTGGGGTGGGGGAAGAGGGGGAATGTTCTTTTGGCAAGTTAAGATACAACAAACACGCTGCAGCTTGGGTTTATTGCTCATCTAAAATCAGTTTTGTTACCGGTTTATGTAGTTTGCAGCCTGCTTCCACAACTTAAGCTGAAACACAATTCTCTGAGCTGGCCAGCAAGGCAATCCTGCCCTTGGCAGCAAGCTGGAACCTACAAGCTAATGATACCCATAGTTCTAAGACCATGAAGGAAAAAAAAAAAAAAAGAAAAAAAAAAAAAAAAGGAAAAAATGATACTTTCAAAAAAGCCCAGATTTAAACCTGTTTATATTCAGTTTATTTTTTTTTTTTTTTTATAAAAAACCACTTTGCATTTAAGAGTAGTTAAGTTACTCCTGTGGAAATGCTATAAAATCAAAGTTTTAGCTGAATTCCTACAAAAGGGGGAGTTTTAGTGCTTTATACCATCATCCAAGCTCTTATTTTCCAATCTGGGATACAAATTAAGCCTTTATGCCTCAACTTAGTTCTTAGGCCATTTGCTCCTGCAAGAGAAAAAAAACCCCAACTTCTGAAGTACTAACATAACACTAATGGCCTGACAAGTAGGAAAATGTTCCGTAATAGTGTGCAATGTAAGAGGAGAGTTCTAGTCTTAATCTCTTGAACTAGATCTTGATCGTGAGCGAGATTTTGAACGAGATCTGGAGCGGGACCTCGATGCAGCTCTTTTGGGTGGTGACTCTGAACGAGCCTTGGCAGATGGCTGCTGCTGCGGAGAATTGGAACGAGACCTACTCCTTGACCTGGACTTAGACTTAGCATCTCCTTTACCATTTTCTTTGGGAGATCGAGACCTGGACCTGGATCTGGATCGAGACTTCTCAGACTTCTCCTTGGATCTGCTGTGAGAGCGTGAACCCCTGTCAGACTTGGGTTTTGATTTGCTCTTTGATCTAGACTTCCTGCTTTTAGATCTGGAACGTGAGCGGTCTTTGCTTCGTGACCTGGATTTAGAGCTTTCAAAAAGAGACAAAGTTTATTCTGCATGAACTGAAGTGTACTTACAGCAGTTGGCAATTATGTACCAATGAATAAGCAGCAATTCCTGTACTAACACAAAACAAAGGATCAACTCACCGTGAACGGCTTTTGGAGACACTACGGGACCTGCTGCGGCTGCTCCTACTTCTACGACTTCTGCTTCTAGACCGTCGTCTAGATCGTGACCTAGAAACACGGAACATGTAATTTATCCCTTATTCCTCGCCTAGTGTGCTCTGCTATCTGTCAGAGAAAAACTGCTGAAGAACTTCTAAACAAGTATTATTAATACACCTGGATCTGATACACCGTCAGTTAATCATGTCTGATGCTTCACATCTGAAAAATTCCCAAACCTGGCTTTGTTGTATCATGTAAAATAATTCCTTCCACATTCTCAAGCACCATCCTCTTCCTAAATCAGCTGAAGGCAACTCTTGCCAGAAGGGCTACCTCAACCCATTTTTAGCCTAGGTAACTTGATGCAGAAATTGACTTGTCCTAGAAGTTACCTTGACCTACTGCCAGAGTATGATCGCCTGTGGCTTGACCGTGGCTTGTCTTCAACCAGCCTGATCTTCCTTCCATTTATCTCTGTGCCATCCAGTTTGTCCAGGGCACGCTTCATGTCCGAGTAGGATCGGAACTCAATCACTCCTTCATTTGTACGCTCTTTGTGAGCATCTGCATAGGTTACCTCACCAGCTTGCCTCATGAAATCCTGCAAAGAGCAGGTGAAGAGTTGCATAACCGTTCCCCACACTTACACTTCACAAGTACGTGAGCTTAAGACAGGTCTGAGCAAACACAGACACACTAAATGCACATAAACATTCACACACCAATATCCCAATTAATTCCACGTATATCAAAAGGAACATCAATTTTAAAGGAAGCCATCGCTTCCTGCTAGTCACAACAGGCTCCATGGCAGAACGTTAATACGTACTTTCAAATCCTGCCAACTACAGCGACTGGAAAGGTTTTCAACAATCAGTCTGTACTCTGTACGAACAGGTGGTCCGTATTTATCTCTTCCAGATTGTCTCCGACTGCTATATCCGCCACCACCCCCACCTTTATTGTACAAAGAAATAAAGTTAGATTGTCTCCTAGCATGAAGAAAACTAAATGTTCTGAAAAAGTTAGTTAAACAGTTATATTTACTGGAGTAGGACTTTATTTCTCTAAGCCTCCAATAAACTTTGCAATTTTGCCATGATCTATATTAATGGCAAATCAAACAGACTAAAATCCTACAAGTCTGTGCTCCTAAGATCTGTTAGAGAGTGACTGCTCCTTATTAGATTCACCTTGCTAAGTTTTATTTTACAGAACATTGTAAAATATAAAACTTAACTGATTACATGCATTTCTACAATTTACAAAAACGTTTACTAGTTACACTAAGTACTTACATCACAGCATGAGGTTTTTGGTGGTGGTTTGGCCACAAAACACGCAAGGTAACAGTCACCTAGTTCAGTTTAACCAGTTTTGTCTAACCCTTGGAATCCTCACCATCACCCTGCGTCTAATGGCAAAAGGCTGCTGTCGTCATGGCTTCCGGTAAGGTCAGCCAAAGGGTCATAGGGCAAGGGTCACACAATGTATGGAAAAGCCATGGCCAATCAGGAAAGGCAGTCATCTTAGCCTCAGTGGACACAGCCTCAGCCCCACTGGTCACTTTTAAATTGAAACATCAAGGACTTGTTAAAAAGTTTGAATTGAACATGCAACAATTTTAAACAACATACATTTGATTCTTTTTAAGACAGAAACCCGCCCCCCCCAACACCAAGCTCCTAGAGATTAACGAAAGATGAGCCTCAGTACTTTGAAGTTACAGTACTAGGCTGGTTCAGCTCTATAAAGCTCAGCTCAAGAAACTACACAAGTTAGCTGAACGTAGAACTATTTACAATATCCCCCACTCAGCCCAACAGACTCCTGCTTGAAAACCTCCCCCCACCCCTCCTATATATTCAACTGAAACATTCACAGCTGAGTGCTTCCACCCCAATTATGCAACGGTATTTATTAATATCAGTGATGAGACATCACTGGTTGATTTAAATGCTCCCCAAGAACACCAAAGCTCTTAAAATTAGTAGAGCATTCCACTTCTAATTAACAAGAAACCCTTTCTAGAAGGCCACAACTTTGCAGCCAGAATTGCCCTCTAATCGCCCAACCTATGTACCCTCTTTTCTTAGGGGATACCCAAGTGCACGGCTGGTGCCAGGAAGAACGTCTGCGGCGCTAGGCCTGCAGCCAGCCTGATCCCTGCCATGCACCGGGTAC